TGTCGTCTTACTAGCAGTTATATTGAAAGCCTTTAATATTTTCTCACCCTATGGGGTAAAATATTTTCCTCAAGTTTATTTAAGAGCACCTCTCTTACATAAAAATAACTATTAAAGTCATTAAATTTACAATTGACTAAAATATTGCGCTTTATTTTTTGATGTCGGCTAAAATAAGAAAAATACATTTCAAAAAATCTACAGAATGGATAGTTACGTAACTACATGAAACGTTCACATTTGCTTTTATTTAGTGAATCAAAAGTAATGAAACAGTCCACACAGGTCCCACGAATGTAAACAGGCCCAGTCTCATTTCTGCGAGGATTTAAGGGCAGAGAAAAGTTCTTGACGCTGTTTTGGATTACAAATGACTACGATATATTTTTAAGTTTCTCAGACAAGCAGGTTTTTTCATGTATTTTCCTACCCGCTGAGCACTTGATAAATCAGCAACTTTAAATCAGTAACGTCGGTGACCGCACACGGCTAGCTTGCGTAACCTACGTCAATTTCATGTGTGTAAGTCCAGTCCCTGTACTAATGGTAAACAGAATGTATGAAATCCCTTTTTTTAGGCAATTTTAATTATAATTAAGCAATTTAGTTCAATTTTATTATTTTACTGTATTTTTTATTATTTTAATGTTCTCGGAATTATTTAAAAAGGGATGAAAAAATCCTGATATAACTATTATCATTAAATGAGCCACGTTAGCCGATAAGCTCATTAAGAAATTAATAAATTTTAGAAACAAACAGTAAATAATAAGTGCAGATAGCACGTACCTTTTAAAATGAGCCACGTTAGCCGACAAGCTCATTAAGAAATTAATAAGTTTTACAAACAAACAGTAAATAATAAAAGTAAAATATGAATCCTTTCGTGACCTTATACATATAACAATATTCGTGTGCCAAAGTTAACACAGTAACCACCCAAAAACGTTATTTGTACTCTGTGAGCAAAATTTGGAATCATTCATGTTTTACTCTGACAACTTCATTTGATTGGGCTGTTGGCAATATTTTATTGGCACTGATCGCATGGGAAAGATCTTCTATCTCAGAATAAGCTAAAATGTTGGGCAACGATTGAGTTGATTGTTTGAGTAATAAAATTTTTCAGTTCTTTTATTTAATCACGAAACGGATAATTTATACGAGTTGCATACCAAAAAAAGAAAATCGAATAAGGGCTAGAAGAATAAGTATATAAAAATTGTAATTATATTTTAAGTTATGCTTATAAAAAAAGTCCCGTTGAGCTTCTTGCCAACCAGTGGTAAATGTAAAAAATGACTCCCAATACGAATTACATGTAATCAGTCATCATTATCATCATAATTACAGCCCTTCACAAGTCCACTGCTGAGAATAGGACCGTGCATCCCCCAAGGGATGCCACAAAGCACGGTCATGTACCACCTGCATCCATCGACATCCTGCATGTCTTACCTGGTCGTCACTCCATCTAGTGAAGGTCGCCCTACACTTCGCCTACCGATGCGAGGCTGCACTACTGTAATCAATATTGAATAAAAAAATAATTATTTTCTATTCTAATGCATATGCAGGTAATAACTTGAAGAAGAGTGTCACAAAAGCTATCTATGATTTAAAATCTAAACAGTTAGAAAGCTTATTTTTTTTAATGAAATGAATATATTAACTTTGGCCTCTCAATAAATTTGTGAATATGTTATACCTACACGCACACAAAAATAAAAGTAGTTTTAATAAAATAAGTAATATTCATTCCGTAAATAAAAGGAACAGACATAAACTACTAGTACCAGTCACATGATTCCAGAAAATATACAAAACTTGACCTCCTCAAAGTTCAGAAACTTTAATAAACAAAGTTTATATAAATATGCTTATTATAATATTAAGGAATTTATGGATGATAACAACCCTTGGGAATAAGATGATCGCTACCAAGCCGTTTATAATGTGTTTTGTGTTGTTAATTGTATTGTAAACTGTTATTCTTGTTTTTATTTAAAAAAAAGTCCCGGTGGGTTACTTGCTTTTACAAAAGAGTAACCTTCAATAAGTATACATCGTGATGAAACCTGCATGTCTGAGGAATAAGAAAAAAAATATTTCGAAGACATGTGAAGTTCGCCAACACGCATGGGGGCAGCGCGGTGAACACTTCCTTGCCCTAAAACCTGGGAGGCCTGTGCCCAGCTGTGGGACGTAATATAGGCTGTAACTTTTACTTTTACTTGTATTTATATAAGTATTATATATTTGATTATTGCACTGTCTCTTAAACGTATTATGTATATAAACTAATAATATGTATTATATACTAGTTTATCAATGATGTACACACACTTCTACACGTTTAAATAAAAATGATCTCCTTCACCAAGGTTTGCCTGGAAGACATCGTTGTATACAATAATAAGGCCACCTAATTGTACAATAATTTATAAATGTAAGTTTGATGTGTTGTGTTATATTTTATTGATTTGACGGAAATTTTTGAAGTTATTTTGAATAAACACTTTTTCGAGATTTCTTTCGACAACGATATATGTCGCCGTCGTTTTTTTTTTAGTAAGAGCTGATTAGATTATAAAATTGATCAAAATAAGGGTGTCGAAGTAAAACCAAAAAAAAAAAACACTGTTTGAAAATTGAAAATACTCGAAGTTTTGACGTTTCCTCAGAATCTACAATAATGATTCAGTTTAAATTCACAGAAAATCTAATTTCACCAAGGCCCATAAGATGTCATAAACCGCTTTTCTATCGGACACTCCATTGCAGAGTTATGAGATGTTTACATGTTACATGTACACACACACACACACACACACACACACACACACACACACACACACACACACACACACACACACACACACACACACACACACACACACACACACACACACACACACACACACACACACACACACACACACACACACACACACACACACACACACACACACACACACACAAAACACGCACGCGCCCCGCGCGCGCACGCACGCACGCATACGTCATACATACATACAGACATTCATACATAATCGCAAAAATAGGCAGAATAGATTCCAATCATCTTATACGTACTTATAGAACTCGATTTTCAAAAACCGGGGTGAAAACAATAATTTCCCGATTTTTTGTTCATTGTCTAACTAGTTAAAAACTAGACTGGAAACAATATATAACCCTGCGATGTCGTACCATACCGCTAGCAGCGTCGTTACATATGTACATATACATTTTTGGAAAATTAAAAAATATTTCAAGCGGGAAGAGTCAGAATGTGACAAAAAAGACACGTATGGCAATTCACAATGCTGTGTTGGTCCCTACTTTAACGTATGGTAGTGAAAGTTGGGTGTGGCAGAAGAAATACGAGAGTAGAATAAACGAAGTAGAAATGCGGTCATTAAGGAGTATGTTAGGGCTGAATCTGAATGACTGGGTGAGAAATTGTGTGATAAGATAAGAGTGTGGTTTGCAAGATGATGTTGTGACCAGGATTAAGAAAGGAATGCTTCGGTGGTTTGGTCACGTGGAAAGAATGATTAAGGAAAGAGTGACAAAGAAAATTTATGTTGCAGAAGTGAACGGCAGAGTCGGAAATGGACGTCCTAGACAAAAGGTTATCGACCAAATTGGCGATATATTGAAAACGGGCCAAATTAGGTGTACCCTTAACCGACGAGCATGTATGCGTAGGTATATGGGTGTCAGAATCGTGGAAGTCTGTAGTCTCTGCCTACCCCTCTAGGTGACAGGCGTGAAAGTTTATTATGTGATTATAATTATTTCAAGGGCATTTATGAAACAAGAAGGGTGACAAAGGAGCACACAGTCCACCTGATGGTAGGTGGTTCCTGTGACCCAATAGACGTCTACATCTACCTTCAGTCAAGAATCTAAATGCAGAATGCTTTATCACCCCTGAAGACCAATATGAAATGCCTCGCTTCAAGTAAAAGGATCTCCGGTTCTCTACTTTCACCATACAAAACACAGCAATATTAAGTTGCTATTTTACAGTGGTATTTTATAAGAGCGTGGTCCTTCCCCGGCCGAGCCGATCAATTCATGCTACAAATATAAGATAGCTGTAGCGTAGCTCTACCACCTATAAAAGTTTCCGACTCTATGGAGCAATAACGTTCTTCTCATAACTCTTGGAAATGGGAGGAAGCCATTGCTCACAAATAGAAGGTATGATGTAACGTTAATTTTTGTACATATAATATTCGAAGTACGACTTATGAAAAAAATATGTATAGTGCACTGGGGTAAGATCGGTGATGGTGTAAGACCGTAAAATTCAAATTTCCGGTGAATTATGCTATATTTTTGAAAGCTAGCAATATGGTACAAGACTCCATTTTATTGTGCCCCGACCCCAAGTTTCAGCCAGTCGCTCTGAAAACTAGGGCGTGTGCTGCGCAGTATTTTATAAAACAAGGTAATTTTTGTATTTTTTTTTCGTCCGTCCGGTCTTTCCCTATCACTTTTATATGCGATTTTTAGCGACGTCCGGTCTTCCCCTTGATGGCCAATTCTTCATCATGCATATAAAAAATTATGCCTTGTCTTCGCACACGTTTTAAGCAGAAACTGTTGAGTTTTGAAAAGTAAAAGCTTCTTATAGCTAAATTACGTGTAACCATTAACGATTTGCGCCATGTTTCAGAAATTTGACGTATATGGATGTCAGAAAATAAAGTTTTTGCCCGACTCTTTTAACTAGTCGAAAAACGTCCGGTATTACCCCAACGCACCTTATAGCATATATTTATTCCATCGTCATTTATGATACCTGATTTTAATTTGTTATGTACCGAATTCCAACGTCTGGCTATGAGATAACTACATGATTAACAAACCCAAATTATTGTGTATTCATGTTGCAAAATATTTTCTTATAGTTCCACTATGGTTGCGGATCATAAACTGGAATCCTGTGGAAAATAACTGTAAGTGTTGTAAGACAGTGAACGAAAATGGACAAAAAAGCGGCCGAATCGAATATACCGAGCGGTCGGAAGTGCGGGCAAGTGCGACGCGGTTACCGTGATAGAACGCCGGATCTGTCGGCAGGACCTACTTTTGAAGAACTACGAAATAGATTCGACACTAGCGCCACCTTGAGGCGAGAAATCGCCGCGCATCCAGCGACACATGGCAGCGCCACTCGTCAAGTGGTCAGCGGCAAGTTATTCAAGAAGTGCAAAAGCGCCACATTTCAGATAGATGGCGCCACCTATACTATCGGTGAGTTGAAACTAATCTAACGTTTTAGTTGTGCCTTGAAATTGATAGACAAGGTTTCCTTATTTTGATATACAGAGGGCGCTACACAATAATCTACAATTTGTGTCACTCAGAAAGTTTGATTTAATTATATAGGAAATATAATTATTTAAAGTTATTATAATTACTTTAAAACATGACTAAAGTTTTGCTTGAATATTACTTACGTAAGCTTACAAAAGGGCTCACGTCAATGTGTCATAATCCAACACACTAGTACAAATGAGTGGTTAATGGTTTTATTTAAGTGAAAATGGCATTTTCAATTATTTAAAGACATTAATTAGCTTAACCATCAATATTAATACGTATGTAGATTGATACTAGATATTACAATTTGTAGTTTCACTAAAGTTTTCTTAGAAATTAACCACTTTTGATTACTAAATTATAATGCAATTATAATACTATTATCAAGTTATATTTTAGAAAGAATTTAAAACTAAAACTTATCGAATTACGACTCGAATAAAATATTTTGCCCGTCAAAACAGGAAAGTAATTTAAAAACAAATTATTAAAAAATATTTATATATTTATAAAAAAATACTTATTTAAAATGATATAAACATTTAACAAACATGAACTATTAAAAATCTTGATATGAAAAATGTCCAATATTCTCTAAATTTATAAAATATATTTTAGTAGTAATAGTTTAGGTGCATGTCATATTTTATATGGTAGTCACGCTTCCGTTATATTATCGCTTTACACGAATGTGTCGACTCTAACGAGAAAGAAACACGCTCTCACAGAATACCAATTTGAAATAGCAGCATGATGCTGCTGTGTTCTTGTAGAGAAGACCCTTTTTACTTGTAAGGTATCCATCTGTCTCAGTTGACAACACTTTATTTTCAATTTAATGAGCATCTTCAGACTTTCTGCATGTATTTTCTGCCACCAGTTGGTCCTAAATGCCTTGACCAACAAGATGCACTTGCCTGTGAGATGAGGTTAGCACTTCTAGCATAAGTTTCTCCAGTTCTTCTGGCCTCTTCAATGCTGTTATTGCTGTTAGCTGCTCATTTAGAAATTGCAGTATATTATAATTTGATAAAATACATAAACATAAACACTCACGCCTGTCACCCAGAGGTGTAGGCAGAGACTACAGACTTCCATTTGGCACGATCCTGACACACCTCTCTCGCCTCCTTCACATCCATACACCTACGCATACATGCTCGTCGGTTAAGGGTACTCCTAATTTGGCCCGTTTTCAATAAATCGCCAATTTGGTCGATAAATTTTCGCCTAGGACGTCCCTTTCCGACTCTGCCATTCAGTTCTGCAACATAAATTTTCTTTGTCACTCTTTCCTCATTAATTCTTTCCACATGACCAAGCCTCCGAAGCATTCCTTTCTTAATCCTGGTCACAACATCATCTTCGCACACCACACTCTTCTCTTATTACACAATTTCTTACCCTGTCCTTCAGATTCAGCCATAACATACTCCTTAACGACCGCATTACTACTGCGTTGATTCTACTCTCGTGCTTCTTCTGCCACACCCAACTTTCACTACCATACGTTAAAGTAGGGACCAACACAGCATTGTGAATTGCCATTCGTGCCTTTTTTTGACACATTTTGACTCTACACAATAGAGTGAAGAGCCCCATTTACTCTATTTCCCGCATTCACTCGTCGTTCGATATCCTTATCATATCTCCCATCCTTGCTAAATACGCAGCCCAAATATACAAACTCATCTACTTGCTCGATCAACTCCCCTTCTATTCTTATTTCACAATAATTAAAATATTATAATTTGACTTGCAAAAAAAATTCTTACGACTCGACAACGAATCCAAAGAACTAAAAAACGATAATAATATTGTGTGATAATTATTATTGTTCTTTGTACTGTCCTATAGTTATTACATAAATAGTTTATAATTATTCTCAGGTTTAAACTAGAGTATGTTTCATTAAAGAAGTATGTCTTTTTTTTTAAAGAAATGTGAAGTATGAAATAGCAAATCTCGAATTTCGTGAAGTCTCGTTATATAATAAGGATATTCTCAAATTTGAGGAAATTTCTTTGTTATGAATTAATAAAAAATATTAAATGACAATATTTCTGTCAAATTTCATACTTTACATTTTAAATCATATATTTTCCACGGGGCGTCATCATTGCAAGAGACCCCAGAGAAAAAACTACTTTTCGCAATAAGAGGCACTAAGTTACGTTTAAATTTAAATTGGATTTCATTACTTAAAATGCTATAAAATAAGATTTTTATTTCATTACTAACTTTTTACCCGCGGCTTCGTAATCAATAATACCATTTTGTGTTAATATAAGCAAAACTGGATCACTTGTAGAGACACCTTGGTATTTGTGTTTATATTGGACATAGGAATTATTGAAATTTGGCAATATAATACACTACACGAACATATAAGTGAGTTTATCAGAATTGCATTTATATCATCAATAGTATTAATATCATCAATAGTATTAATAATATCAAAACTAGTTCGTACGGTGAGTGCAGAGAACCGGAGATCCCTGCTACTGAGCATTCCATCTTAGTTCTCACGGGTGAGAACGCATCTGCAACTTGACTCGTAATCGAGGATAGATATGGATGTCTATAGGCCACAGCAACTACTTAACACCAGGTGAATTTGTGCCCGTTTGTCACCCTTTTTCTATTAAAAATCATACGTCTTGCAACACCTTTTTTCTTTCGGGAATGTCTTCCGATGTGTAGTTACGAAGGAAAAATTTCTTGGAATCAGAAATATGTTATTTTTAAACTGATTGAACTGATGAATCTGAGAAAATAATGGTGAATTTCATGGTCTTTATTAATAATTGCCCCATTGAATATTGATTGGCACCATAAAACACATGCCAATACTTTTTAACGTTCGAGTAGACTTCAAAATTTCATAAATGTAGTTCTATTGAAGGTGAAGGTGTGTGAATAATTATATTAATAAACGAGAGTAAAATTTTCAGAAGATAGGCAGAAGCGTCTTCCTGAACATAGCTCAAAATAATAAAAATATACAGTTGGCAACTCACATGCAAAACATGGCAACTATGGCAAATATCCACTAGGGGAAATATCCACTAGGGTAAATATCCAACTTATTTGGAAATCTATGGGGGGAATCCAATTGATAAACGGGAGTAGAAATATATTAGACATGTAGAGATGGCGGAAAAGAAACCACTACCCCATTTCGTCTTCTGGGTATGGGTGGCAGCATCTTCCTGATAACAGCGCAAATTAATAAAAAGATGCGGTTGCCAACCCGCTTGCCAAGCGTTAATACTAATGCAAATATCCGGCCTATTTGACAAACAATATTTGATCTATGATTAGCAGTGGATATACTTTTCAAAAGTAAAGAGTAGCAACGTAGATACATTCCACACTAGGCACAGGCTGCAGCGAGTTTTAGGACAAAAAGGAGTTGAATGAGTTGACTCCAACGCGGGATGATCGATTTCACACATACCTAAAAATTATTTGCGAAATTTTTTTTAACTTCTCAAATTTGCAGGTTTCCTCGAGAAGTTTTCCTTTACCACCGAGAACGTGGTAAACTTAAAATTGCAATTAAAATATGATTGGAGTCGCCGCGGATCGATTTTGGGTTGCTTACGTCCTACGTAATTTATTTGAATCGGTTTTAAGATTACCGGCATTGACAGATGACTGTCAAGATTCCATCAATCCAATGCTTGTTCATAGTTATACTCTATAGCTAAACTCATAGTTGAAATAAAAATAAACCTGTGTTTTTAAAAATTGCTTTCTTTGATATTTGTAGTAAATACTATTTCGCTAGAGCCTGTTCATTTAGGTACTCATGTGAATTATGAAACCGGAACTGTCACAAAAATTTTAATAGGTATGTCTGAAGATATTAAAATGATTTCAAACTTCACAAAAATAACAACCTAATTAAAAGGAAAACAGATTGCATGAACGGTATAACGAACTATTCCAACAACTATGGAAAAAATCTCACAGCGTATTTAATTTTCAATAACTTATATCGGATTTGATACAAAAACAAAATGGTGAAATATTGCTATACCGATAGACACACAACATATTCAGATAAAGACTTTCTGTCTGTTATGAGTAATTTCGCTAAAATTTTCATTAATGGTAAATCATACAGACAGTGGCCACCAGTCTGGATATTTAAAGTCTGACAGTTTTTTGATGCTGCTACAATAAGTATTTAAAAGAATTGTGTTTAACTTTATCATTTGTTCATTATTAGTGTATTTAGGAGTAAATTGATGTCGTTGCTATACCAAAACTGTACCCTCTAGTACCCAGCCACAATAAGTTGAGGTGTGACTGCGGTGGCTCAATCGCACAACAAACCCGCGAAAATTTATATAATAAACATAAATTAGGCATAAAGTGATGTAGAATCTATTATAAATTCTACTTCTGTCATAAATACGCTATCAGCGCTGCTAGCAGTGCATAATGAAATTATTTTACGATATAAAATAATATCTTGAAATAGCAATGTCGTGTTTAGATGTTAATATCGGTTCATTTCTATCGCTTCAATCGTATGTTCAACATATAGATGACGAACATTGTTAAATTATAAATTCTAAGATCTGAACAATACATATATAAAAATCTCTTCAATGACAATAATGATAATAAGAGTTTAGTAATAATTTCAGTTTTTTTTTATAAATATAAACTTAGAAACATCCTTAATTTTATGATCTTCGATAGATGTCACTATTATCTATATAAGGAGTAATTAGTACTATAATTTTTTTTATTTCTACTAAAATAAAATAAGGAAAGAATCAAAGTATGGACGTTAAAATTTCGAATCAATCATGAATTTAATTACTTAAAAATATAAATGTATGTTATTTATATTGTTTAATTTATTAGTAGCTGTAGGCAAAATGTCACTATTTTTTTGTATTTTACGTTAGATGGCAATGTTTTGAAAAAGTGA